GTCAGATTTAATAGAAGCACTGCGCTAGGTGAACTGGTTAAACGTCACCTTATTAAGAGCAAACAAATATTGGAGCAAAGGTTCCCTAGAGCCAGGGTTAACAAGCTGATAAGCCAACAATGGCACTCGATAAGTACGCCGCATACTCTCAACGGTACAAAGCCGGCGCAAATATTGAAACATTATTTTATAAGTCTTGATTAAACAATGTTATGAATGAAATGTTATGAACAAACGCGTTATATACCACAGGGGGAAAAAGGGTCAGGGTTTAAAGACTTAGGCCCACCACGGTGCTCCAGTGCGAATTGGTGTGCTTAAGTGATACAAGGAATAACAATTTAAATGAAACACTTTTAAAAGCTTAAAATTCGAAAAATAGTATTTGTTAACTTAAATTATATTTCGGATGGTTTGCAACAGTCGTGGTAACGGAGGGCTGGATAGGAGGGTATCCTTAATGTCTAAGACAAATCGTTGGAACACAATTAAAACCAAATCTAAAAAAAACTAACTTATATATTATCTTTTTAACCGTTAAATGTGTTTTAAATCTGTAGGCGTGTATGGGCTTCAACTACGAGGACACATACAGTACAGTACTTTTTTGATTTTATTATACACAACTGTTGTTTTATTACACAAGACGTTTCAGTCACTAGAACTGCCAAAAGATGAACCAAAGTTCAATTGGTGATACTTAAAACCTATAATATTTACTTAATGAATGATCAAGGCCATCTCTGCAGCTCAATGCTCCTGGGTTCGAAAGCCGGAGAAACAAAAATATTTCAGCCGGGCAGACCGCAGACGTCCAATCAACTAGAAATAAAATCGATAGATGAAACAGTCACAGAAACATGGTCCCACACGAGGAAACAGGATTCGACTTTACAAACTATATCAATTTGTTGATAGCACTTATTTATAGCCACTAGTGATTCACACAGATCTCTCATGCATCATGCACCGCAGCGGTTAATAGTCGTAAATGCATTTTCGCAAAGGCAATGCACTTGCAACCGAAACACGCGAGGCCTTGCAAACATAACTCGTTCTCAAACCTAGGGCCCTGACCGCGATATGCACTGTACGTCTAATATTATTAACGTTGAACGTTTATTTAAATGCCGACCTTATTATTACTAGGTAATGCGCTTATTGGATAACTAATATTTGCTGAAGCAAAAAATAATACAGAACATTAATCAAAACATCATTAACATAATATGACGATAATCGACCCACACATAACTTTGTTTAAAAAGCTAAATAATATAAAATATATAAAAACAAAGCGATTTGATCGATAAAATCGATTTGAGCCAGAGTTTAGTTTTAAATATAAATCCATTTAAACGGTTCAACGTTCGAAATATATCGCCGAGTCACGGGGATTCCGGCCAATTTAATAAGCTAATAAAATTCGCGTTTTAATCCGTCCAATCTAATATAAACGCGTACTACTCTCTTAACCACAGATACTAAGACCTAAAAAAGGCGCTAAAGAGTAGTTAAAAGTTTGAGAATTGTTAAATTTTGACGCACTGAAAGAAACACCGAATTGCATTCTTGGAAACCTTTAAATATAAGCTGCTGAGAAGCAACAGCTTATTACTTAATTCGATTATCGTTGCTCTCTCGTCATCTACCGCATACAAAAACATTATTAGTCGCAGGTAACCCTAATCATTCGAGCTATGGCTTCGTTGTTATATTCAACACACGCGTAATATAACTACGCCCACTATTTGACAAGATTTTATGTAAATGACGATTGTCTTGATAGAAAGTAAAAAAGGCCAGTACTAAATGTCTATTTAAAAGGATTTTCAGTAAGTTATGTTAAAGTACTGTGCAGCTTGTTGCAAAAATTACAGGAAACTTATAAGTTTTAGAGACCTTCTAGGTAGAACAAGTAACGCTGGTAGTATTATTCTCTACAAGGGTTTTGAGCAACGTAACAATTTAGAAAACAAAGATTATTGCATGAAAAGCATGCAAAGGATTTTTAATTAAAAATATTGTCTTTAGGTATGTGAATATAATACTTTAAACGGTTTAAAATACGACGCTTGGTCATATTGGCATCAGGTCGTAGTTAATTTAACTTAATATATTTCGCACATTTAATCGTTCTTTGCATTGCCTTTGTTTTTAGATCTACGTGTAGTGAAATAAAAGAAGCATGTACAATTGTTTATGAAAGGAGAAAAAAGACAGTTACAGCACAAGTAACATAACGCTACACAATATTTAATCCAATTATCTTTAAAAGAGGATTAGGCGGTCGCGTAATTAAGATCGTGGTGACGTCACAAGTAGAAACAAAGCGTTGCATTTGATTTACCAACGTTTCACATGAGTCACTCTGCAACTTATCGCCGAAACGACTTCCGCAAATGCCTGCGATATTTTTTATATAAACAGGGATGTATTAATAAAAGAACCTGCCGAATGTAAGGAATAAATAGTAAGTACCCTATATGAAACCAAATAAAATACATAAAAATTGGTGTAGTTAAATTGCATAAGCATTGCATCAAGTTGGAATCCAGGGGAAACAATAGATTGCTTTGTTCGGGCAGAACACAAAAGTCTAATCAACTACTAGCCTATTTACCGTTAAAAAACTGACAGATAAAATGTTCCCCCATGTCCCATGGGGGGGAAACCGGATCTCACTTCTATTATAATTTGGTATATTACATCCACTTGGACAAATAAAACATACTTATTATTATTTTAGCAATTGCTTATATACATAGTCGTTATTAAATTAAATACTCTTTTGATAAACTGGAAATTATCTTTCTGAATGTGTATATATCGAACAAACAAATTTCCAAAAAGTTGATTTCACCAAAGAAGTTATGTATATTACAATACTCCTAGTTTGTTTGTAAGGTATTTTTATTGCAGGCAAAGATGTATGTGTAGTATATTTATGACAATATACAATAAAGAAAGTAAAAAAATAGGTATGTTTGTTTGTGTCTATGTCATATAGATAAACACAAACTAATATAACTATGATGGCACTTCATAGGCATAGGACCAAACCTTTGTTTGTTACACAATATGACAAATTTAAAAGATTGTAAGAAGCCATAATCATCAAAATAAATTTATGTTTTATGCAAAAAATTATTTTATTTTTTCAACATGACATATTTATTTTGATTAAGAGGATAGAGTTTAAATTCTAATTAGTATTTACACAACATTATGTTGAAGAGAATATCAGAATCAGTTTCTGATAATATTATTTAAAATATACTGACCACAACTACATGTATTTAATTATATGTGGTGAAAATATTTTCCCATTCAATGAACATGTCACATTGTATTTGCCTATATTAACACAACATAATGAGAATTAATTAAACATAATAAAATTGTTACTGAACTAGATTTACGCCTTAAATATGATAATAAATATGCATTGACCACCAAATAGTAATACATTTTGAAATAATAATTATCATACCTTGGTATGCAGTTGGATGGAGTCCTGTCCACTTCCCATGCAGCAAAAAGCTTCATAGGAACAGGTTTCGATGAGTTAGTCATCTTTTCGGATTTATTCTTCTCAGTCATTTTAACAACACAATAGAATACAACTTTCACAACACTTAGTTGTCAGACTGCATCTCTACTTTATCACTTAACATGACACTGTATTAATTTTTAATGTATCACTGTTACAACATTATTGTGATACGTGCTTTAAAAATGCAACAATCGCATACCGCTTAAACATAAACAAGTATACCAGCCTGCTTGATGCAAATGCCTATTACAATATGAGAACGGAGAGGTCCTGTGAGGGCGGGATAAAGATTAACGGCGATAAAAACTAGATCGTACACGTAGCGTAGATAAAATCAGTATTTGGCGGTAATGAACTGTTTTAATCCTTTATCACACGCCAATTACCAAAGGCCCGCGTAGACGTATCAGTGAAACGCCGCGAATCACGATTCACTCGAGCCGCTGACTGAGCGCTCGATAGTATAGCACTTTTGACAGCGACAGCTGTCACTGTTAATCGTCACAAATTATTGCCATTACTATTACTACAGACTAAAATACAATTTTTAACTTTGATACAGGTAAGACAAAAACAGGTTTTTTTATGGTTAACTATTTAAGTTTATTATCGTCTACAGAATAAAAATCTAAAACAATATGGAATAATAATTTTATATAGGCTTTGCCTATGATGCAGAATAGCTTAGATTTCAAAAGTAGGAAATATTGTTTTCACATGACCATTGTATAAATTTATTTAACAAAAAAAAATCACAAACGATATCGAAATAAAATGTAACATGTAAATCGTCGAACATAAAAACTTATAGCTACATTATTCCTACACCATAATATCAAATAATCTCATTTTCGTCTGACGTGCAGCAGCAAATGTACCCACATATCTAATCTTAAACTAAAAAATCTATGTTCGCTAGTGAAAATTATTATTATTACATAATATTACACAATTTTAATATAAAACATGAAAAGTAACAAAGACTAAAGATAATATAAGTAAAAAATTCGAATGTTTTTAATATCACAAAATTCAACTTAAGTACATAAGTGAGAACTGTTAAAATAGATAATAGGATGTTTTTAGCAAGTCTACAATCAATAATAAGGTGGATACATAACTTGTCTAAACTTTGAAAAGGTTACATTTAAAAATCCAAAATAAATTGAAAAAAAATTTGACTCGGGCAGGACTTGAACCGGCATCGTCAACGTTCCGTGGTGTTGCTCTACCAATGGAGATACCGAGTCCTACACTGATGATGCCGGTTCAAGTCCTGCCCGAGTCGAGAACTTTTCAATTTAATTTCGATTTTTAAATTATACAGTGCTTTCAATAACATGTAAAAATTAATAAAGTTTTCAAAGGCTACTTTTGTCAGATAGACAGATTCCTTATACTTCTAAAAGTAGTTATTTATATCTGTGTGGGCTAAGCTTAATTTCTATTTAGCTGCTTCAGGAGGGCAATCTGGCTGAGCTGAAGGATGAGCAGCTCGGAAGGCAGGGTGGTTCTCCAATTCACGGTCAATGCGTAGTATAATGGGGAATGGTCGTAGATCCACATGGAATCTGCAAATGTTTCACTTAGTAATTTTTTTATATGTTGATTGATGTAAAGATTATCTTATGCCTAAATGCAACTTTCAGAATCTTATATTTTTTGTACATTGTTAAGACAATAAACATATCAATATCTTTGTTATTTTTTTAAAAATGTGGTTAACAATGTGCGAACAGTAATGGATTACAAAATATAATGGCTGTCATTTTGATGTTTCTTTCTACCTTCTAGCTTTCTGTTTACCTTCTAGCGTTGAACACTTGTGGTATAAGGCAGCAGTCAGCAAGAGAGATTTCATCTCCAACACAATATTTGCCAGCCACAGAAGAAAGTATCTTCTCTACCGCCCTAAAACCACGCATAATCCAGTGCTGAGCCCATTCCTTCTTTTTTTCTTCACCAACATGAATTAAAACTATCAGGTTCTGTAGTGGTTGTATACCTGAAGAAATTACCTGTAAATTTTAAATGTTTAAAATTCATTACTCACATTCACCTAGCTGCTAAAAGTAGGAATCTCAGGATAGTTAGCGGCTTAATAAACTTAAGCCTCAAATACAAATCTATTCAACTTAACCCCTTCAAATCAAAGATAACGGAAAATTATTGATAGTGATAGAATTAAGACCCTTTTATTTATTTGTCTTGCCCTCATTGTGGACTTCGTGTGGAGTTCTGTTGCTTGTTAAAACACCCAGTTAGTGTAGACAGTGCTAGGCCAAAATACTTAATAATATTAATAATTTTCAAATGAGTTTAACTAATATATATCGCGTTCTAAACTGTTAAAGTGTTTTATTTAAATGTGTACTACTTGCGTAAACTACAGACATTATTTAATATTCACTGCATTAATATTATTAGTTTTAATGAAATATAACTATATATAAATGCACAACTCACAAAAGATTATCTTATATAATAATTCAAGGTGAAATTAGTTCTATTCCAATTGACTGGATCATTAAAAGCCTGTAAACTAAACTGATCTGAACATGGTGTAAACTTTTTTTCACCTTGTTCAGATTATTCTCATTAACATACCTCACAAATTTCTCTAACTTTAGCTCGTTTGTAGCAATCTTGAGGCATTAATGGTCTCTGTGGTCTGGTCTCCTCCAAGTAGTGCATTATACTAAGAGATTCAATCAAAGTGTGTCCATCTGGAAAAAAATTAAAGTGTGATAACAAAAGAACTCATATCACTGATCTTTAAAAAAACTAGCTATCAGACCAAATTTTTGCAATAAATACATATGAAACTGCTAAAATTACCACTAAATAATAAAACTTTTCAAGAGTCCTTTTATTTATTGTTATTCTTTAAATATTTATTACTTAAGTGTAATTTATAGAAAGGCTTGTAGCCAACAGAAAGGAAACTTACCTATAACAAGGGACGGTACCTGCTCCATTGGATTAACTTCTCTGTATTCATTGCAATGCTGTTCGCCTCCTCCTTTAATTAAGCTAACAGCCTTTATGTCATATGGTATTTCTTTTAAATTCAATGCAATACGAACGCGCCATGAGCAGGAACTCCGCCAATATGAATAGAGGACTGGCTGAAAATAAAAAAGAATAATATTTTAATACCACAACAAGAGTAAAATATTTCGTATTATCTGTTCTTCTATTTTCCCACCTTTTCGTCAATTTTATCTCCCATTTTAAAAGCAACTTCGAAAGGAATCAAATGATAACTAAAATAACCAGCCTAATAAGCACTATTGTATAAACTAGTCTTATCAAGGTGCGCCAGTATTCAAATGAGATAATAAAAATAAAGGATAAGCTTGTTATGTACACTGTTACCTTTGCCATAGCAGAGATGTTCTCGTATTTTGGATAGTAATTAATTTTGACGCCGTACTAAAACTGGTCGGTTTGAAAGTACTTAAGTGATGCTTTTCCAGCGTTAATGCTGAAAATATTTAAGACTCGTTCAAACCAATCCGCGAATGTTATCTTCTAAAATACATAAAATTGTCGGTATATTTAATAATTTGTATTCTCTTGAAGGTTTCGTATCCCTACAAATCAAGTCAATTTTCTCAATGACAAAAGTACGAAGTGTATAATTTATTGCAGCTCTTATAATGTTTATACATTAATTATAATTATGAACTAGTAAATAAATTAAGCGATAATTATCCACTCGATAATAAATAAATTATTATGCAGCCTATTTCAAAGCCGGTTTTGTACTTTGACAGATGTCCTCTAACTGTCAACTTGTCAGTTTCTTTTGATATTAAATTTGGGAAAGAACCTGCAGGCCGATTTTGTAACTTTTGACAATCAGTTATCAACTAGCCTTCAGTTGTCCACCGTAATTCGATGATAACTAAATGATGGTAACTATTGGTATTTTGTAACTTGGTGAGTTACGGTGATTAACATGGCGGCATAGCCACTTATAACGTAAACACAGAACATCACTATTTTTTATCGACTATTATTCGACTAAATTGTGAAAGCGTTGTATCAAGTGATAATACACGTACTTTAAGAACATTTTATTTTGACTACTTATGGCCTTGAAAATTACGGCTTGGCGGCTATTTCGAATACTTTAAAGTTCTTATTTCATTTTTGTTTATGTTATTGTTAATTGAAACGTTGTGAAGAGTTAGTTGTTAACTATAATGGATCGTTGTATGAAGTGTAAATGTTTAGTTAATAACATCGCGCTGTACAATTGTGTTTTAACAAACTAAAACGTACAATCGCTTTAAAATGCCTGCACCGAGAAAAGTTAGTGGAAGGCAAATGGAATTGCTGGTGGACTTTGCGGAAAGGAACCCCAATATAGCATTGGGAATAATAGGCACCGTAGCTGTAGAAGGATTGCCTGGTGTACGCATTCATGTATCGGTTAGTAATCTAAAAAATAATTATCAAATACAAATTGCATTAGAAATGATTTTAAATTTTTTTATTTGTTTTTCATTCCATTAAAATATGATTTTTAGGTCCCACCTATCTCTTCTCAAAGCACATTCATACAATCGACGTCAACTCCGGAGCCGGCAGATATGCATTTAGAATGGCTAGAAGAAGATATAGAGGATAATGAAACTCAGTCACAATCTGAAACATCTAAGGACGGAGGTTTGTGTACAGACGTTTTAAAGTCTGTTACCTACCTATTATAAATAATATCTTTTAGATAATAATTCTGCTGTGACATAGTGTGTGTGTTTACTATGACTACACTGTGAAACCTGTATAATATTAGTTGTAACTATGTTCACAGAATTTGTACTTCACCAACTCACCACCAATGTTGTACCAACCAGCGAACCACCACCGACCACATACAACAACTCTACCACAACGACGAAGTATCAAATTTTCTACTTCATTTATTAATGAATAATTTCTTTTGCTAATAATGTTTTTTATTATGCCATATCGTAAGACTGACATTCCGTCCCTATTTTATTTATTTTGTAATTACTCATCTTATAATATGATTTAATGTGACATATATGTATATGATATTAAAAGCTACACAACTAAAATTAATACATACATAATAAATTAGTTCCTTTTGCAAAGGTTGCAAACCGACTGGTGAAATATGTCAAACGAAATAAATATTTTTTACTCCTAACACCGGCTTGCTAAATTTAGGATAACATAATAATTTTTCTTCATTAATTACAGTTCGTCAACGTGAAAGGCCACCACCTCAATATTATCTTCTATCTTAGGCTATTCAAATCGAAAGAAGACGTGTTGCAGCGGAAGAGAGAATGGCAAATAATGTGCAATCACTTGCTGAATTAATTAGGGAAATTAGAGATGACATAAGACATTTTGTTAATAAATAGAAGAGATATAAATGGTAAATTTTTATTCTGATAGTTATAAGTTCCTCTAAATTAATACAATTATTGACTTTTAATGTTAAAGCGTATTAAAAAAATTACAACTAATTATTTACAACATCTAACATTATGGTACACTTACAAACCTTAAAATATATGCTATTTATATCATAACTGGTATTTAACTTAAATTAACTAAATAAAGTTAGATTTTAAATAAAATCATATATCTAATAATATACAAAAAATTATAGTATTACACATTATAAAAAGAAACTTATTAACTATTTCTATTAAAAAACTAAAGTACTTGTCTTATTATAAAAAAAATATTCCGAATCCCACATTCTCTGTACAAGAGTTTTTTATTTTGTTCTTCAGCTAAACTCAACATAATTAGACGTGCCATAATTCTGCAATATTATGAAACACAAATAAAAATCACTAAACGACAAGAAAAATAATAATCATATTGTTAATCACCAAAATATAAGAATAAAACACTACCTTTGAGTAGTGTCTTTCAACGATCAAAGTGAATAACAGTTTGATGATAACTAAGCGTACAAAATCGCAAGTTTTCAAATATCGATACAAAAACTCATTTACGGTGACGATCAACAATCTCGGTTCCTTTTGACGTCATAATCGTTAGCAATCAAAAATAGCAAATACCAAACTGGCTCTTTGACAGATAGTTGTTGTCAACTAATGTCTAGTGATTAACACTACTGATAACATTTATGGGATTAATTCTAAAATTATAAGTGAATACTACTAATATGGACAACTTAAAAGTACTCCATAGGACATAATATTATGATACTGGCAAATCCATTAGCATGGAAAACTCATAAAATTATTAAAAAAGATTTAGTTGTCATTCACTTGTCATTTATCAAGACACACGTGTCTCTGTTTTCAGTTTTACATTTGGAATTACGATAATAAGTAATTACTTGTGATTACTTGCTCAGTTATTTGATTTGGAATTGGATCTAAAACCATATAAAATATACAATTAATTGTATGAAGTGTTATGTGGCGGTAACTTGCCAAAAGAATGCAAGTGTTCATACCTAAAATTATATTTTTAAAGTGTGCTTAGTTTAATTTCACATATTGCAGCAATTACTCGGTATTTAGATTCTCAAGATGGGTAAGGACAAGAAAAAGGGAATAAAAGGAAATGTTTTTAAGGTAGCGGGTGCTAAAAGTCTTAAGAAGACTAAAGCAAAAGCAGTAAACTTAGGTTTAAAGAATGTAAGTATTACTTACACTTTATTTGTTAACACTTGTTCTTTAATATTAACCTTAATCTTGGACACCTTTAATTAAAAATATATATGTTAAAACAGGCAGTGTTTTGAAACAGATCTGTGCTTTTGTAAACATAAAGAAAATAATACTCACTTCAACTGATCTTCTGGAGACCACATTTTAATTTTGTTACTTAATATCTGTTAGGTTATTAGGTCAAATGTATATTTTTATTCTTGGTATTTCAGATGAAGCAAAAAGTAGCTGAAATAGACAAACAATTTCTGGATATAAAGAACACACCTAAAGCAAATGTAAGTGTTAAGAAACCTGAAGTTAAAGGTCCCCAAAAAAAGATTGAAAATAATGTGACAAAAGAAGAAGTTGCAATGGCTACCGAGAAAATTAATGGTATAGATTTATAGGAAAACTAATTTAGTTATAATTTATGTTATATTTTTATTATAAGTTAAAAATTGAATAAAAATTGTATAAATCATTATTCATATATTTTTCTGCCTTTGTAACCTAAAGTTTTCTTACCTGTATTGAATAATAGTAATTTTTACTGAACTTGCGCAAAGTAAGTGAAATTAAGTCAGCCTATTCAAACCCATGGTAAAGGCACTATCCACACTTGATAAGTTACTACTTACTAGTATCACATGTAAAGGCAATTTGGACAATAAGTGACAGTCTGACAGAAATGATAGAATATTTTTGTACGTCTTTTATTGTTAAAATTAACAAAATATAACATTATTCTTATTTCATTGTTAACAAAACATGTTATAGTGGTAGTAAATGAAAAAATATTTTCCACTCTCCAGATAGTACATAATTTGATTATGCATAAGAAAGTGATAGAATACAACACAATACCACTGTATTTTACTAATGTATCATTCATGTTTTCAGACATTAATAATACATAGTACAAACTTAAAATCAAGATAAGATAAGTAGTATTTAAAAATGAAACCGACTTCACTATGGTAGCTTTTGCTTAATTTTTAACGGATGTATATAACCTATTATATCTAAATTAAAATTCTCTGCATGTTTTTTGAAAAACTCCATATTAGAGTTATGACTAGAATCTAATATTAAATGAGTTCCTTCATTTTATACAATCCAAAAATCTTAACCAGTAGGTACAACATTGACAAAGGTGCCAAGCTTACAGTGAACTTTCTAGTTTCTGACTTAACCGCCGGATATCGGATATAGATTTGGTTTGAAGTCGGTTAAAAATGCACAACAATTCCTAGTTAAATTACAAGTAGAGGTTAGGTTTATTCTTCGTCTGTTACATCGGGTTCTGCTTTTTCATCTTCACTGACTTCGGCTACGTCTGCGTCGTCCGCAACAACAGCAGCCTCGGGTGCTTCTTCAGGGCTTAAGGGTTCTTCAACGATTGGTTGGCTCTCATCGGCCGGGACATCGCTGTGTAGAACGGTAAAAAGATATGAGTAAGAATTGATATTTAAGTAGGTTACGCGAACACAAAGCACTTTTAACTACTAGTTAATAAATTGTACACTTATGTTAACTATAGGTACGTTCCGCTTTTTTAACCGTTAAAAGTGCTTTATTTAAATTTATTCACATCACAGTTTAAATAATATTATTCTACGAAATATTTTCCGAGCTCTTGCTTTCCTATACGTAAAAGGTTATAATAGTTTTTAAAATCACTTAAATCTTATTAACAACATATAAGATTTATATAGTAGCTAATGCGTATCAAATGTACTAATTATATATTATTATTCATTACATACCTTGACTCGTCCACAACATCAGCAGCAGAGCCGCTTCGTGATAACTCCTCCAAACGCGCCGCTGCTAGTTCAGATTCTTGCCTTGCAATTTCAGCCAACTCAGCAGCCTAGAATGAACAGTCTTATTAAATAAATAAAGATTTTGTGAACAACACCCCCCATAAGAAGTCTTTAAAGTAATAAAGTCAACTTTCAATATATCTAAGATTTTTTTTTACCTGGCGTGCAAGTTCGTCTTCACGCTCCTCCTGTGCTTGTCGTTCTAGTTCTTCTAGCCTAGTTAATTCCTCTTGTCTTCTCTGTTCAGCTAGTTTTTCTTCTTCAGCTAACCTGGCTTCTTCCGCCAATCTAGCCTCTTCAGCCGCCTTTGCCTCCTCCGCTAATCGGGCTTCCTCAGCTAATCTGGCCTCCTCTGCTAATCTGGCTTCTTCAGCTAACCTAGCTTCTTCTGCTAATCTGGCTTCTTCAGCTAAGCGAGCCTCTTCTGCTAATCTGGCTTCTTCAGCTAACCTGGCTTCTTCTGCAAGTCTTGCTTCTTCGGCCTTTCGTGCCTCTTCCGCCAGTCTAGCCTCTTCAGCTAATTTTGCCTCCTCCTCCGCCTTTCTTGCCTCCTCTTCAGCTTTCCTAGCTTCTTCTTCTGCCTTACGCTTAGCTTCTTCTGCTTTACGTGCCTCCTGTTCTGCTCTTTTCCTTTCTCCAGCCTCACGTTCAGCCTGCTTGAATTTTACATATTATTCAGAGAAGGTACGCATAAGACATACAAATATTTAAAAAGTAGGTATGTCTAAAATAGGAGAAGAAATAATGAAAATTAAATACACAAATAAAGCTTGCCTTACCTGAGCTTTCCTTTCTGATTCCCGTTTAGCCTCTTCCTTTAGAGCTCTGTAAGAAAAATTTGGTTATACATTACTTTGTCTTTTTGTTTCAGTAGGTATCTTGTAGATGTTCAATTTACAAGTATTTCTAGTAGGGTTCCAAAGACATTAGGTAAGTTTTAAAGTAAGGTCATAGGTTCAGTGGCATGCGAGGATATTGTTAGTACTCACTTCTCTTCTGCAGCACGGGCTTCCTCTTGGCGTTTCCTCTTAATCTCAGCCAAATCAACAGATGGCGTGAGAACTGGCTCAGCAGTGGTAGCGCGAAATCTCTCAGCGCGTTCGGCCTTGGCAGCTTTCAATTCCAGCGCTGGATCTTCCATCATTTTAGGCGCCTGGAACTTGCGGCTCGGCCTCCACGGAAGGAGTTTCACTGCACGGCGGCAATGATTGCATAGTGACAAGGACCATATACAAAATTGCACATCTTAGGCCGACTAAAGGCGTGACTTTTTATCGCAACGGCCATTATCGAAAAATAATGCGACGCCACGACAGATCGTGCACGCTTTGACATGACTGCATAGCGTGGATCCCAGCCAGAAAGCTCGTGGAAAAGCTTATGCACAACCCTAAGGTGTCCTAGATGCTTTCGGCCTGCTCTGTGCATTGAGGCGATTGCAAGCGTGGCTGGATCAATGGCGCTTTTTGTGCGTGATATGAGTACAACAAGTTTAATATAAAAATGATTACAGATAAATTAAATATTTATCTCGATGCACAAAAATATTTACACTTGTAGATATTGAATAAAACTTAAAGGTGATAAAAAAGACTATGAATACAGTAATTAGTCGAGAAAGCTAAGCGTTAAAAGCGTTGGAGTACATAAGCCTAGGAGGTGATCTACCATGCAAACTAATTGAAACAAGTAAGGTTTCTTAAGAATTTATTATAACAATCAGTTCTGTTTAAAATCAACATCACCAATGTGGTGAATATGATTAAAATTTAATAAATGTTAACAAAATAAAACTGATCTGAACAAGATTAAAAAAATATGTGATATATCGGTTAGTCGGAAGGTGTTATACCGAGATCAAAGAGCAAAAGGGGACACGACGCGGGGGCAAGTGACGACGTGACTTGCGCCCGCGCCGTTTCGCCAAGAAGAGCCGCCCGATCTACGCGCACTGCGCCGCTGACGTTTGTTCCGGCGCGTCTTTTGCTGTAAGAGACACCACACCCAGTGTTATACACAAGATTTATTTTCCATTTAAAAAGCGGTTTACTGAACCGACGGTGTCGGGACAGAAGCGAGATACGGATTACGCTTAAGAGGCAACCTCGCAACTAAAAGGGGATCTACTCACTAAATTACTTTACAACTGTCAGCATTCATACCGAATGCTTCTACAATTGTTAAATCATGACTTAGTTAGGCTTCGTAATGGTGTTTTGATTTTTACAAGAATTTGATGTCTATGTACAAAAATATCGTTATTACAAATAGCTATTGTACAATCTGAATTACTTGAGAACTATGAGTCCCGGCTCGAAGGATCGAATATGTCTGGGTTGTACACTCGCAAATCTATTTACCAAAGAAACGCATAATAATGGTCTTTAAAGCTACGAGATGTCCCTGGCGTATCTTTATAATTTATTTTATAGATTATGCGGAGGAGAAGCGAGCGCTAGTAGTGCGATTGTGGCGAGATACCTGTGGCGTTCTCGACGGCAAGACCGGCGGCGGCGAGTCGGTTCTTTGCGTAAAAGGATAAGAGGTTGACGTCATCTCTGATGCTTAGTTCCTTGTAGAGGGGTCTGCGGTTGGAGAAGGCCTTATTGCCGGAGTAGTGCACGCACGCGAGGTTGCCGCGTCCTGGCGAGCACACCTCATGTTATCACGGGGTCACACTGGGACTTGTTAGTTCACATAAGGTATCACAAGAAGACAATAGATTCGTCAAGTATTAAATAGTACCTGGTAGAGTGGGAGTACCTGTGAACTTCTTAGCGGGTTCGTTGTAGAAGGAAATGTTATGGATGTTCTCAGAAACATTTCTCAGTGGCAAGAGCAGTTTTGCGATGTAGGCGTCGTTACTAAAACGATAGGGCACCGGCTCGCCATAGGAGTATCTGTAAAATATATCCTTAATCACTCTGCTATCCAATATTTTCTGACGAGGGAAGACACGGGTACCACTTGAAAACAGAAATTTCCTAGCATTAGCGCCGTCGACGTATTTAGCATTGGATAATTGATACAAAAAGATATTCTTAGAAAGTTACTTCATCTCAGGATTCAGGATTAGGAGGATCAAACTCTCGCAGGCACGTTACATGTTAACTAAGCTTTTACACCGTCTCTTCGCAGGACTCTTCAAGGATTTATAATTTCGTCATATTCTAATATGCAAAGATCAGAAGGTCGTCCGAATATATTTGTATCATTTCGTGTCATCAAACATCCGTACTCGTTTGCATAAACAGCGGATAGCAATGAAAATAAACCATAAAAATACATAAGAACGCGAGCCGATAAACATTGGCTGGCATTTAACTGGTCTATAATTACATCTGAGCGTTGTACGCTTCACGCTGTTACATTTGGCTGTGTAATCTACACCCACTCTGGAAGCTTCCGTCGACGTTAGAATATCTAAGTGAAAACTGTTTTTCGTTTCGATAAGATACCTCGTATGTCCGTATGTTTGTTATTATTTAAAAAAAATGTTTTCGGATTTAAAAGTAAAAACATTTAGTAAAGTTAAAGTTTTAAATTTCGATTTTTTTATTGGAGATAATCCAAAAGACGTAGGTCTACTTTTTTAGACTACAGTAATATAAAAATAGTTGTTATTACGATAATTTTAAAGAAAACGGGTACCTCCAAAAGGACAACATTAGACCGAAAATAATTGAAAGAACTTCACATGTAATATATGTTGCACTAAAATTAAAGGGTTAAAATAAAAGATGCTTCCAAAAAACACACATACAATAGTCAATAGCATTCCTTCCACATTCGGATAAGAACGAGAACGGATATGAGAGTTCTTTCAACATGATAATGTTTACAAAGCAACGATGCATTGCCAAAATCTCCGATGCATCAATGTCAATGTCAAATGAGTTGCATCAATGGAGCTATTTCGGTCGTGTTACATCAGTTTATGCCAAGAAAAACTTGACCTGTCAACGCAAAGGTGTCCATCACCGGGTATTTTTAATCTCGCACGTGCGCCTTAGAGATGGGTACTAGGTAGATCATATAACTAGAATATACTCTTAACACCCGTTACAAAATACTCAAATATGCGATACAAATTCAAATTCGTTACAATTTTTTATTTGAGTACCCTGAACGTTCAGAAGCGATTGGAGATTTAAAGTGTGTATCGTCGAGTTACTTTGGCGAAGTTTTCATATTAAATGTATCTTCTCCATTAGTCCATTTGTGTGTGAAAAGGTTGACATGACTTAAAATAACAGTAGGTTTATGTCACCCATTAATACGTAAATACCTATTACATTACTTGCCTCTCGTATCTAATGAGGGTACAAAGTATCGAAATACAACTCACGAATAGATGGTTTCTAGCGGAGCAACAGTTTTAGCCCGTGGTACCACAGAACGAGCGCGGTGGAGCAGAGATGCTGTGTCGGCTCTGATGCGGCGGGTCTCATCTTCAAACGCCTATAAAGAAAAGACAAAAATGTGTCCCTGTAAGCCAGAATCTAGTTAAGTGATAAAGACATTAATTAGCTAAATGGTGTCCCTCCACGCGTTTTTTTTTTGTGTTCTATAATATGTCCTTCTTATACGCATTACATAAATCTTATTTGGTTTGAGTTAAAAAATGCATTGACAAACGGAAGGGTAGTATATTTTCAAGTAAGATTTATCGATAATTTGAAAATATTCTTAACAACACTTCAAGTATTTATTAAACTTATGTGTGAAAGATAGATAAAAATTACAGTAGAAATCTCGAATGCCTTCAAAACGAGTGCCTATTTGTATAAACAAAGATATATTGTGTGTCTACTACACACAATATATCTTTGTTTATACAAATAGTAATTAAATAAATATTGGTTCATTAAATAAAGCCCACATTGGTATCCAGTAATCTGAAAACCTACATCTTTTTTACCTATGTAGTGTGAAATCAAATGCTGTATTAGATAATAAAACTTAAGGTATTAAACTGCCAAAATGTCTTGTTTACCCTGATTACACAATACGATCTCATATAGTTTTACGACAATTATTTCACAAAGAATGCAGTAGCAACTATTGGACATGGGCCAAGGGCGTAGTTTCGAGTCATTTTCACGAGTCTTTTCTCATGGTACAGAATTAATTTATCAAAACCCAGAGCGATATTAAACCTTGGCCTCCTTTGAAAATTTATTTGAGTTATAATATTCGAAGGATATCATGCATTGCACGTGCAGAAGTTTAAAAATAATTTTTAATCATAACTGCACGTCAGTGCAAACATCGGGTTCATTTATGGAAGTTCATACCTCAGCCATGTATCTTCAAATAATGTTTTGAAACCGTAACATATCCAGATATCTAGATGAAGTGCACAATTTTTCAAAGAAATTATAAGTTGAAGTATAAATAAGTTGGAACTTAATCGCGAGAATAGTCAAATTATTCAAGTTAAAATAATTGAACATCGTTAATTGTTTCTCTTGGTCTGAAGTGTCTTAGATTAAATGTTAAATTTCTTTAAATGCTTATGTCATTACATATTTTCATTTCTCTTGTCGACTTTTAGTTATCTATTGTAATTTTGTTTTTTCTTTCCATGCAAACATTGCCTGTAAAAAATCGCCACAGGCGACAAAGCCGCCTTTGCTCGAACAAACAATAGGTTAGTTTTAAGAGCCCTCGTTCTTTTTTGATGTAAATATGTTTGTGAAATTAAAAGTTTTTACTATTATTCTTAAATTGCACAAAGCCCAATTACACCATTCTTATCCCTGTTTAGAACTTATTTGACCTTACCTTAGTAGATTCGGAGCGATAGAAGTCGTCTATAGCAGACACAGCAAGCGCAGGTCTGCGTTTATACGCGATGCGGTCCAGTTCGCGCAAGATGACGGACGGACGGACGCGAACACGCACTACGTGGTGCGGGGCTTCGGGGTAGGTGACGAGTCGAGTGACCGTGCGAGACGTCGGACGATAGATTAACTCCGCCTGGAATTCAGTTTTATGTTCTATGAAGGGATGTTAACTGATATAGAGTATGAGCGTTTAAGTATTTCGTAATAAAACATTTTTAACTATTAAAAATGCATTCGTTAAGTTTTAAGAACTGACCGCGGCTGCAGCGAGGGGTTGTTACAACTTTTGTACGCTGCCAGACCGAAACAATTTATAGAGTTCAAGGTTAAAATCCTTACATGCTCATTTTATTAGACAGATTATTGAAGTGCTGGAAAAACGTCGATGGTAAAAAGCTCATGACTTGAGGTGCGACGGATGTTATTGAATTTATTGGAAATAATTAAATATACTTTCATGCAAGTTCCCAGAGGCATTTAAACTAAAATAACAAGTGATGTAGAAAGCTGATACGTACCTGCGAAATTGCGTTTAATAATAAATTTTCATTGTTATGACATAAAAATACATACTTAGTACAATACACTTTTAATAAAATTTTACATTAAAAAACACTAGCAGGGCTCAAACTCATAAGTACAGTGATTCTGCATGTTCTTTGTCAACTGACATGGTTGTTCAGTTACTAAAAAGATATTCCAGACAGCAATATGTAAGTAATGTTCTATGTAGATATGAAAAAGGTTTAAGAAATGCAAGCAAATGAAAGTAGTTTGCTAATTTGTGCGTTTAATAGAATCACTTCAAACTGCAAGTCAAATTTCCAATTCGAATTTTGGAAAATACGGGTTCCCTTTGATTGATAATTTTAAAGTACATTAAGATATTATTTTCGTTTTCAGATGTTTTAGGTATCCCTTGATAAATCATTCAACACAGCTTATGTATGCAAGCCTAGATAAAACGATTTATTCATCATCGCTGCGTCTACGCACATTATAACGTGATAGTCCGGTGACTCACTACTTCAGGCTAAAATTAGACTAAGACTGACAGTCTCCTTCGTCTATCTTTCTTGGGATTGCTTGTAAAATAAATATTTGTTGATTGCTACATCGTGAAGTTCGTTTGATTTTCAGCACACAAAAACAACTAATCTTATTTATTTTTAAATATAAAAAGAAGTTATAATAAAGCGATAAGCAAAACGTTTTCGTTTTACATAGCTTGGGCGTAACTAAACCTGTTCTTGTCATGTCAAACTTGTTTACAGTATTTCATTTGAAATTAGCTCAGATCTATATTGTTTGAAATAATTCACGACTTCTTAGTTCTTATAAAATATTATGGTCTACAATCGAAAGCTGTGAAATATATCGATACGTATAGAACGAGTCGTATTTCTCTATAGGAGGCAGCTTATAAATCAGATGTAACTAATCATGTTTAAAAGTGAATTGTTTAGTTTTCGTAACACGCAGCCGTTTTCACTTGGCCTTTGGTAAAACGCCAAGTGCTCGTTTGTACAATCATGTACGCCTTTTGTATGTTGTTCTCAAAATATACTCGTTAATGTCCGTTTCTTATTAGTGATCTAAATTCATGTCTTTTTTCAATAGGTATGACTTTATTGTAACTACTACTGGAAGACATGAATACAAGTAACTAATTTGAATAAAAAACAAAGTTAACGTAAATCATGTCTGTTGTTTACCTACGAGACACACGTACCTACACATTTAAATAAGAGAAATGTAAACGGTTTGAAAATCGAAATGTGTTTACGTATTTAGAATTCAAATTTATTTTAACTGCGGTCTGGCGTTTCAAACGCTTGCAGCAGTCGTGGCCACGGAGGGACGAAAATTAAAATACTACATTTCAAGATACACCCAGCGTTTAAATTGCTAAAAGTATTTTATTTAAAAGTGATCTTATTTAAATATCGCGATTTTGAGAATCGACCCCCTGAATTTGTTCATAATTCTTTCAGAATAGAGGTCTCAATAATTAAAAGACTTAGGCGAGATGTATATACATATGTCCCAATCACATCTCTTTTAAAAGGCACTTTGCCAAAACTTAGTCAATTAAAGTTCGGTAGGTATTCGTTACATCATATACATAATTATTTTTGAGAATGAATAATGGTACCGTGATAGAGTGTTGTCGTTTCGCTTTGTTAACTAATTACAAAGGTAAAGTAGAAAGTATTACATTAAACAGTACGTCAATTACATATTGTAATAATGACAAATAATTACACTATGTTTAATATGTAAAATAAATAAAAAAATGCTTGTACTCAATGTCTGTCATAAATTTATTCTTGTTAAAGGCTTGCATTTATTTGAAACATGCAAACATAAATGAGATAAGTTAATCCAATCCTGTACAGTACCTATTACCAGTACCGATTTGACTTCAAGATACCTACCTACCTTAGAATTTCTATCGATATAATGAAGTATATAGGTACCGTGTATTGACGTTTTAGTATTTTCGAATTTTATTTAATAACAAACCTTTTGAAAAGCCATAGATTCATTTAATATAGTAAATTTTACCATCGTTAATTGCATAAAGATATCTTGGAGTTTTCACAAAGCTACTTAGGTTTCCGAGTTGTTCACTACGACTAATGAGATGGTGATTGAGATACGGTTCTCAACAATTAGCCCTCACGGGTTGGTGGCATCATAATGAGATACGTTCCTCGACTAACGGACTGATCTACGACCTGAGATTATATACAAAGCAATAACTATGATACACGACTAATACTAAAAACAATTAATATACCCGATTCTGCTACATGATCAGTACCAAATGCTGAATATGAAAACTGATATTTAGCAGTGCAGATGTTTGTGCCACAATTGCTACAAGCTGTGTCTAGGTGCAAAACTTATGCTTCTTTTACCCCAGCTGCATGAATGGCCTGTGCAAGCACTAGCTATGTACAGCTTTTCCAGTAACTCACCTGCGACAGCTTTGGTATATATGTGACGTAGGGGATATGGTAAGCCGGTAGAAGCGAAGAGAGGTAGTACATCGATGTCAGCGGCTGCACGCCATAAAACATTAAATGTTGTGAGGGTAGTTTTATTTTTTATGTTTGTACCTTTTAAGTCTAACATTTGTGGATATTATTTTGTAAAAGTGATATAAATAAAGACGTCACCAATGTATCGTAAACTAGTAAAATCTGAAATGAAACTTGATTTATTTCAATAGCTCCTCAATCCTTTTGTGTTTATAAAGAATTAATCACATCTAATCACAATATACTTTACATAAATGAAGAAAGATTTAACCATTAATTTACATTCAAAAATATTATAATTTACTTTTCTGTTGTCCAAGATGACCTAATTGAAATATATAAATTACAGTACCTAATAATAATTCTGTAGTTACACCTACCATCTGCGAGTATATTTATATTTCAGTTTTAGTAAAATATTATCGAAATTATTGTAAAGAATGTATTAAAATTTGGAAAACATGAAGACCATGTTAGTTTGTGGTCGAGCTCATTATCGACATTGTTGTGTGAGGAAATTGTAACACGACAGAAACGAAACGAATATAAAACACAAGCTTTATTAAAAATTCAGTCTAAATCATAAAAATTATAAATAAACAGTTTACATTAATACTAAACACAAGAAAAGCTTTATGGGATACACGTCCACTTATAAAAGGGGGAAAAGTAGAGCGATCACATTGCGTTAGCGAATACTGATTAGGTCGAAAGGGTGATTAGGGGCGAAAGGAAGTCGGACCGGAGCTGGGGCGGGAGCCGGGGCGCTAGACGCGGTATGAGTAGTGGCGGTAGTTGGTGCCGTAGGGCAGGCGGCCGCTGCTCGTTGAAGAGTATGAGTAGCCGCTGGGTCCACCCAAGCTGCTCGAACGCTCGCTCGTGTAAGAGTAGCCTCCCGGGCCGGAGCCCGTGCGCCGCTCCACCGAGCTGCTGTAGGAGTTGCGCTGCGGCAGTCCGCTGCCCGTGGACCTCTCCGACGTGCTCGAGTACGAGTAAGAGTATTGCTCCTCGGCGCGGCGCCCGGCCGGATCCCGGTCCAAGACCACGTAGTGACGCGGGGTCTGCAACAACCGCGCCCTTAGCGACCTTCGCACGCCCTCGCACCCGCCCGACCCCTACTAGCGAAAGCGACACACAGAACAAACGACGACTCTATCAATAGGTGGCGTAGTTGCTGTAGAAGACGTGCCGATGCGGCGCGTGCTGCGGCCGACCGTGCGCCTGCGCAAGCAGCACGTCCATGTGGTCGCGCGGGGTGCCCAGAGGATCCGCTTCGTAGGCGCGCTCGCGGTGTCCAACGGCGGCGAGCACGCGCGCCCTAGTCTGATCGCGAGGGGACACGTAAGGCGCGAGCGGCGCCAGCTTCGACTCGGGCTTGGGCGGGATGTTCTGCCTCACGGTCGGCTCGAGGATGGAGACGCGCGCCCCGGGCCTCGCCTTGCGCCCGAACGCCGTGACGGGATCCGGCACGAGGCTGGGCCGCGGAACAAACGGCACCTTGTCCCAATCGCCCGCCCGCTGCAAGCGTACAATTCGCCGTTATTCGGGCGGGCGCCTCCAGCCGCGGCTATATTTGGCGCGCCCGGTAGCTCCGCTTTCCTACGCTTCGAATCCCGACCTGACCCGCTCGTGGAGCACTACCGCGACGTCCTATCGAGCCCTACGCTGGCGAAGTCGGCTGAACGTCTACTTAAAAAGCAATGTTTACAAGCTGTCGAGATCTAACGACGGTGACAATACGCTAAGGGTCGAACGGGGTGCGAGGGCATCCGGCTCCCGGGAAGAGAGTGGAGCGAGGAGCACGCTCAGAGGTGTTAGGAGGCTGAAGACTCACCGTCACGCTGTAGTTGGACCGGTAGGGCCGGCGGGTGGTGTAGAAGTCACTCTCGTAAACCATGGCTGCTGTTCGTGATCGTTCGACTGAAACTCGCGACGTTCGGTCCTCGACTGGCGCGCCGCTTCGCTTGCTACTGCGCGGACGCCGACCTTATTTTTAGATCACTGTCATTGCGATTTTCGCGTCATTCCTCCTCTGCTTTTCCAAATTTTCAAAACACTTCGTCGTGATGTCACAAGTGGGTTAAGGATAATCGGCGCGAGGAATGCGACGGACCATGGGCGTGAATATAATATCATTTAATAATTAAGTAGTCCCTTGGAAATTTTTATCATCGTAAATTTAAACAATCGTGTAAGTCTTCTTTTGGCGCGTCAAACGAAATACGTTTCTAGTTGAAACGGAAACTGTCATTTCAGTTTTCGTCAATGAATATTCATTCGTTGTGCGTAGGAATAGTTTACTCATGCCTCTTACACATATTGGATAATACTCTTTCAGCCCACGTCTTCCATAGACATGAACCTAAATAAAAAATATACCTTCCAGATAAGAAGCATCTAAGATGATCAAAATGATTTCAACTACACTCCTGCTTTCAGATATTTCCTATGAGAAAGTACAGTTCATGTACTCTTTAAGATTAATTCAGGAATTTTTAAACATTAATATTAATACCTTGACAAGTATCTTGTTTTTTTATTTATTGTTATAAATCCAGAGTAACTGCTACGTTTAATTATAGGTGCAAACAATAAATAAATCTCGCGCAGGGTTAGAGCATCAAATCAAAAAGTTGTTAATCAACTTAAACTATTTATTTCTCCTTTTACAAAATGACATTAGGAATTTACAATAATTTCTCATTAAAACCGCTCTCCTTCGTGAATCACAGATGAACGTGTCGTTCGTTCAGCGTAGACGAGTCTTGAAATCAAACACCGGTCCAGACCCACTGCTTTATTGACTCACCAGTGTTTCCATACAATAAATCATAACAATTCAGACAAACAAAACAACATGTGCCGAGCTAAATACATCAGAACCTTCTGGCGATCACGTAGTGTCCGGACTCAGTCTGCCTTCGGGGGCCTCCAATAAATATCAACTTATGTACACGAGCCCACTCGCGACACAACCTCCCTTAAATATAAATCCTTTTTATTTATAATTTATTTCGTTATGTCCTATCTATGCCGCGACTCCGCTCTGTCTAAACGGTCGAATCTTCTCTATGGTTCGCGACACTTCCGCTGCCGCCGTCCGAACGTCGAACGCGACTACACTGGACTAGACCTAGCTATAGAATCGCTTGTACTGTGTCAAGGCATTGGAAGGCTGATCTCAGTGATGTGGTGGTACTTTAAAACGAGATGGTTCATACATACAGTGGTACCGGCATCTACTTGGTGTGACCGCACAGCAGTTACTATTAAGAATGACTTCAATAATAAGTCCACAAATAATCAAGTAAAATAAATAATACGTGGGATAATCTTTAAACGTACAAACGTTATCAATAAGAAATAATTCCCCGACCCTGTCTGTGCGGTCAGTGCATTTTCAACCACCATCATTGGACCGGCGGGCATCCCGCCGGTTCTCAGCCTGGTTTCATAGACCGCCAAGTGGAATTCAACCAGTGTCATTAGTACCGTTAAAATAGCACCGACTATAAAAAACGCAAAGGTTTTATACGCAGCGATATTTACATAGTGTAAAAGTTAAACTCGATTTGTAAGAATGTCCGGCGAAAAAAAACCTAAAAGGTACAACTTTACACGAGGTGTAAAGTTGTTTATGTACAGTCAAGTATCGAGTTTGGTCGCGACGAGTCGAATATAAAACTACTGTAAGCTACAAGATTACCGTTCGCATCTTGGAAAAAATACATTTCACCTTATTTTCTTGTTGTCTTTTAAATGCGCCGCAATATTTTTTACGCAGATTATCGACCAGAGCTTGCCGCTGTCGCCGCATCGACAATCGAACCCTACAAAATGGCAACTCTCGTTGGACGCGAAACGTGCAATGTCCTGTCCTAATAATTTGAAACAATTTATTTTTAATAGTCATCTCTGTCATTCAGTCTGGTAATCTTCACGTTACTGCGAAGGTGACACGATATAGATGATAAGCCGTAGTTGACGTCACACCGTACACCATTGCTGGACACGAATAAATATACTTCATTATCTACAATACAGCGGGTGCGACGTTTTGAGAACTTGACAGCCGCGTCTCCGGAGAATAAAGTATGACAGTCCATAAGCTATAGAAGATGGTGTTGAAATGTTTAAACTAGAACAGAAAAGTGAAGGTCGATCGAATGATATGCCCTAGTCATACAAAGACGAATTAGGATGCGCTATTGATCTATCGATGTGTTGGGGAAAATGTTTAATCTCTGTAGGGTCGATTTCGCTGTTCAGTTGTTAAGTTAGTCACACCCGCTAGGTTTGTGCATGTTGGCATGACGTCAACTCGGCGCTTGCGACCGGCGTGGCCGCGTGTCGTGTGTGTGCTCGGTATTGTCCAGTGTGAGGAGTGCACGGCGGGTGGCTGGGCGCGGCTACTGGGAGGGGTACTGCGCGGAGGGCATCGCAGACGCGTACATCACAGGCTGCGGCGCGCCACTCCAAGTGCCGCTCGCTGCGTTTGCGCCGCCCGGCATGCTCATGCGGTAGCCCGCTGGAAATCACAAGACAGCTCTCTGTATTTACAGTACTGTAGGAAACTTGAAAGCAAAATCGATTTTGCAGGTTTGACGTCACACGAAGGACCTTGTTTCCTACGTTCATTGAAAAATAATGACATGGGCGGGACTTGAACCGGCCTACGCACCTCTTGCGCATTAGTAGTAGTTTGAGCTTTAAACACCTAGGTTTTGAAGATCAATTTAATCTATATAAATAAAAGAGTTATTAAATGTTAAACTCTACATTTGAGTTCCTTATGTTAACCAATAAGGTCCATTTATATATTAACAGAAGAACTAGCAATAAACAGAATACATTCTTTGAACTACATAGAATACTCAGGTAAAAAGTGTGTAAAAAGTTGCATTCAACATTTTGATAAGAACATAATATACAGATAAGAGTATGATAAAATAGTGATAAGTTTATAGATGCGTCTCAACCTAAATTTAGTTAAATTTAATGACCTGCAATCAATTACTACCTCATAACTTTTGTCTTAGTTAAATTTATTTCAATTTATCAATTTCTACATGCAGGGATTACTTTTAATAGGAAGAGAAATAATATTCATATTGTTTTATTATTAGTAAGATAGTTTCTAAATGGATAATAAACCATTTTTTTAGCACAATTTTATTATGCATGGAGCGTTACCCTTCTTCATCAACTTCCAATCTCTAAATAAAGCAATAATGCATATTAAAAGAAAGTACTAAACTTACCGGCTGCCGCTGCTTGAGGGTTGCTGTATGCAGCATACTGCTGGTAATAACCAGGCGCCATGTAACCTTGTATCGCAGGGTATCCCTGAAAAAGATTCATATAAAAGTTATAGAAATTTCTGCTCTTATTATAATGTAATGGAATGTATTAGATACACAACTATATATAAACATTAATAAATGGAGATAAATGTTTGTTGCTGTTTCCTCAAAGACATGAAATGCAATGATTTTTATATATAATTTTCATTTAAGGTACATAAAATTGCTATAACATTGTAAAGTTTCCCAAAATATATTAAATTCAAAAACAATAATGTCCAAAGTTCCTCTTTAGATACTAAGTACAAGAGATGACATTACAATCGGGGCCCCTCACATGGTTGATTTTTGTCACAATCATTTGTAAAATGATTATAGTCTTACAATGTGTGAAGTCATCATCATCTAGTGGCGGTCAGCTCTAACCACCTGTTCTATATTTGACCATGACCCTAATGTAAGCGCCGGCGCCGAAAAATCTGTTTTGCAATAAGTTTGTATAACTAAGTCAATATGCATAATTGTCTGTTTAGAACCCTCAGATCTCTACTGAATACCTCAAACTTTACTGTACTGTTAAGGATTTAAATGAAAACTATTAACATTACAGTACTTCCTACTGTTACTGAGTCTAAATCTTTTTGTTGGATAATTTATAATAAGTATATTTTTACATTACATGTCATTGGCATACAGTACAAACCACTTGTTTTCAAATCTTCATTGTATGTTGTGGAAAATCAAATACTGATTTAACATAATCTTACAAAATGTATGTGGTACACATATTTTACCAATAAAACAAATTAAATATTTAAAAAAGCAAGCTTGAAATCTAGATTGCAAGCCACAAAAAGATAGAGATTCTAAAACACGACATTTTATTTATTTATTAAGGATCATTTTGAATGTTAATAAACCAATATTGTAAGCATATTTACTGCTTTTACACAAACATGAAGTGATTGTTGTTCAAATTAAAAACATAACTCATAAGTGAGAAATGATTAACACAATGAACCCAACACATGTGCCTTGAGTTTAACCCAATTTTATAATTAAGATTTTATTACTAAAAGTAGCTCTATTAAAAGATTCTAATATAGCTTAATTTTATTTATGATTTGATTGTTGCTATGGCAATATTTTTTTGTTAAAAATTAAAAATATTCAAAATAAGAAAATCACTACAACTCCAACAAATTCTGAGACTATTGAGTTATTTGTACTTTTAAATATCAAATCTTATAAGAATATTAATGTATGAGTTAATAGCAAATTTGCTTTTAACTGAAGGATCACTAGAAATGCTAGTACAATAGATGGAATTAAAATTTGCATATTTACCATGACGGTTAACAATACAGAACATAATATACAATTAGTTCAGTACTCTATTATTCTTTTCAGAATGTTGTAAGAACTTTCTATAGGCCTCCAATAACACAACTTTCCCTTGACTAGTTACTTGTCAAATTAATTTCTTAAGTTGTGTCTTTTATCATAACTAAATAAAGAAATATTTATTTTTTAATATCTATAAAGCAGAGCTCTATGTTTCCAAGGTTTTCTCATTTCTTCATTTTTATTTGCTTTGTATTGTTTTAAAAGTTATCTAGCATTAGAATTAGTTTTTATGTTGTACAACAAGTATAAACTTGCTATTTATGATTGACTTATATTAAGAATTTAAAACCTAAAGAAATTATAGAGTCCATATGCCCATCCCTCTATCTATCTAATATTAATTGAAATATTATTAATATTACCTGAGGATACCAGTAGCTCATGCCTTGTTGATATGGATATGGGTATTGCGTTTGTGCTCCCATTGATGGTGGTGCCGTCGGAGTGTTGCTTGTACTCTGCAAACACCAAATTAAAAATACTCATAAACATCAAGCAAAATATGAATAAAACACAGCGAAACAAGGAGATTTTGCTTACCTGACTTTCATTTCCTCCGTTTTCTTTACCCCAGAAACATTTAACTGTGTGTGCGCTAATTTCTGAGTTATGAATCGCTTCTATGGCATGGGCAGCTGCCTCCTTAGTTGTAAATCTAATAAACGCAAAACCCTTATCCCTGAACACACGTATGTCTTGTATTGGACCAAATTGTGAAAATGTATTCTGCATTAAATCCTCCGTAATAATGTTACTAGTGAAACCTCCACAGTATACTGTCGTGTTTGTGGGTGAGCTTTGGTTGTAAACCTCGTCAAATGTGGGCTGCTTCGCTCGCTTGCTGGTCGGTGCTCCTTCGTTGGTTCCTTTGGCTGGGGGCTTACGTGTCGACCAATTGGTACGTATAGAGCGCGAGCCTAGCCACTGTCCGTTCATAGCCTGAATGGCAGCTTCTGCGTCTGCCTTTTTCACAAATGACACAAACGCGTAACCCTTAGACTTGAGTGTCTGTGGATCTCGCACTATTCTACAATTCGAAATCTCACCAAAGGGAGCGAAAGCATCACGTAGAATGTGTGTTTCTATCTCTGGCGATAGGTCACCGACGAATATGTGATGATGGTTGCTTGTGTCCGTCTTAGGCTGATTACCCGGGCTCGTAGCCCAGTTAACCTTCATTTCCTTGTCAAGAAATACTCGTTTGTTCATGGCGGCCAGGGCCGTAGCCGCCGACGTATGATTTGTGAACTCGAGGAATGCATACGGATCGTTGCCTGGTTCACGTATTATTTTACAACCTTTTACCTCACCTATTTGCCCGAATAACGCGCATAAAAATTCTTCTGACACAGTCGCGTCTAAATTACCGACGTAGAGAGTTTTCGGGTGGCTTTCGTCGCCCATATTAGCTTATATCGTAATCTAGCGGTTACTTTATTACGACTATTGTCACTAATAATGAAATTTAAGGTACACGACGTGTTATTTCATCACATAAAGTATTGGATGACGGATAAAAGAAAGAAAAATGTCGCAAACAGCGCCTGGAACTTCTCGAAAGACGTTGCTGTTGACTCGTGAAACGTTCACTTTTAGGAAACAAACGCATTTATAGACGAATTTCCGGTGGAATGTTTTTAAAAACTTGGAGGGAAAAAAATATTTAAAAAGAATCTCTTGACAAAATACAGTTTCATGCAAAAAAATTAAATTTTATTTAACTCTCATGATTATTTGTAACATATTTTTATGTATTTCAATATTAATAAATTTTATAAAAAATATTTTTAAACCATAAGCTAACCATAACATACAGGCATAGACAAAATGTTAATCATACGGAAGTGTGTGTCGCTTTGAAAGTTTATGAATCATCGCAGATTCTGTTTCATTTACATCAAATGTCTATGATATTACCAGAAATCTCTTTCCCTATTGGGCATAATATTTACAAACAACAAATTTCGACCAATAAATGACTGGTAAGTGTTTTCACTATCGTCTATTACCTCTTCTTTATATTAATGCTTACCGCTGTCGGATTCTTTTTTACGCTGGTAAATTACATTATATAAAAGATTTGAGATGACCGACAAAAATTATGAACTAATGAAAGTTTATTATATTTATTGAATGCAATGAGTTTTTGTACATATGAAATAATTTCTAGCGACTTTTCTGTCAATTTTATCTTAATTATAATTAGTCTGTGTCATTGATAACGTGTCATGTCTTGTCAATTTAGAATATTGATAGTTTGAAGATAAGTACGACAATTGTCATATTATGAGTGTTTAACAAAATGATAGAATGGATAAATAATTATTGAAATGTTTCCCGCATCTAACCTTTACAAATGGGGTTAATGTTATGATAAAAACAATATTTTAACGTTTTTTACCATTATTATTTAAATAATGTTACTAATTGTAAATACATACTATTTTCTGTAAACAGTAACAATCGGCCTTTTGGGTGGTTTCATTGGAGGTTATAGTGTTTTAGTACACGTATACAGTATTTTTCGTGTAAGTTTATTATTTTGTGGATACCTAGAGATGCCGTGAAGTATTTACATAGAGATTATAATTATACAGCTACAATGTTGCCTCTGACGCAAAAAGATACGCGGACGTCGCGCGGGCCACTTTCTGGAATCAAGGAAAAATTCAGTAACTGGTTTAGACTTATATATTCAGATCAAAACTCGAGGAATTTATTCTTATTTTTAATTTTAAACTTGTCTTTTGCCTTCGTTGAATTATTTTATGGAGTATGGACTAACAGTTTAGGTAAGTTTAATTTATGATTTTTTAATACAGCTGTTTTGAGGATCTGACTAATGTGAAGTTGAGACTTTTTTGCCCTTAATGTTGTTAGTTCGGTTCTTTATTTTAAGTAACAGTTGGTTATATAGTGTCCTTTAATACTGTTAAACCATTGCTAATTAGTCAGAAATAATAATAATATGATGTATTAGTAAAATTGCTATATTTATTAGTGAATTCTAAAGCAATAATCCTATTTGTCCTATATTACATCCATATATCATATAATTTTTGTTCCAGGTTTAATATCAGATGCATTCCACATGTTCTTTGACTGTACGGGCCTTGTTGCTGGTCTGGCTGCATCATTGATTTCTAAATGGAGGGCAAATGAACGCTACTCCTATGGCTATGCAAGGGCTGAGGTTTTAGCCGGTTTTGTTAATGGCTTGTTCTTATTGTTTATTGCATTTTTCATTATGAGTGAAGCTGTTGAAAGAGCTATTGAACCACCAGAGGTAAGTTATTTAATATAAATTATATATTTTACTCATTTATGTTGGACATCACAACAAACTTCTCCCAACTAATTCCTGCAAATTTTTTATTTACTTAGTCTTTAAATATATATTTAATAAATAGAGGTATATGAAAATTAATTGTTAATTTGTAATTAAAGATAATCATGCTGGATGATAGCAGCTTATATGTAATCCAGCAAAGAATTTATGAATTTTGTCAACACTTATTAAATGTGAACTTAACTATATACAGTATTTAACAGACCTGTCAATATTAATACTAGAGCATTTTATATAGTATTGATCATACCCTTTCTAGAAGGAAAGGGTATGACTATTCTACCACTGAACTACTGCTGCTATGACCTCTGTGGTTAAATGGGACCTGCCTTAACCATGTATATAAATAATAAACTTGATAAGAACCAGATCAAATGTTAGAAATGTTTCAAGTAAGCAAATGACCTAGTTAGGATGCTCATTTAATTTATTATGTTTTAGGATTTGTTTTTCTCATCATTAACAAGTCAAAGTGGTCATTAGCCATCTGCATCTCACCAAAATACTTTCTCTTCCCAGGACTCAAAGCCTCAATGCAAGCTAGGTCAACCTATCAATTCATCCATTTCAATTTTTTTTGGTAAACTCAAATTGCCTTCAGACACACAAATGTTAGTTTTTTGAGCCTTCCAGCTGTTTTCTCCCTTTTAGGGTAAATAGCTGCTCTAAGTATAACTTACAAAATAATAAAAGTATCGACATTTACGAGATTATAATGCGATAAAATTATCTTATCAGAATGTCGTAAGTTAGTATTAAGCACGTGTTTAGTAGGGACTTCTTTGATTATGCTCATTTGTTCCAAGGCTTATCGTCTTTGATATAGCTTCTTCGAGAGACATTAAATTCACTTTATGCAAAGTTGCTAGTAGAAGAGAACACAGACAACAGAGAACAGATACGGACCGAAAATTTTCCTTATTAATTTTATGACACTTATATATTATAAAATCTTTTAGAGCCGGTTTTGATAGTTCATTATTGAAAAAAATTAAATTCAATTTTCTTTGAAGTTTTAAATTATCTTTGATACATAATTTTATTCAAGCTTTTAAGGTTTGCTTAATAATATATTCTTTTGACAGTGAGGAGAAAGGAGGAGTTAATTAATACATTTTGCGATTTAAACCGTTAAAAGGTTATTTAAATGTGTACTAGTCGCGGTACACTACAGACAATACATTTTTTTTGCATTCTATGATCTTTTTTATTTTATTGAGATAAGTCTGTATGTAGCTTGTAGACTCAACAATCTAATGACCTCACATTTTTTTTTAGAAAATAGATTTATTGCAATATATAATGTACGGGTAAATTTAATGTGATAACTCTTTAATTAAAATCTGAAAATTAATGCACTCTGAAAGTTATAATATTATTGAAAAAAATAAAAATTGCAACTTTTGAAAAACTCTTTGAAGATATAAATTAGCATTTTTTTATAGCGCTACAATCTAAGACTAGATTAAACAAGTTTTTAAAAGCACGTAATATTTTTCGACGACTTGGCAAATAATAATACTCAATCTCAGAATTTTAATTTACTTTCTCTAACGACAATGATTGCCTCGATTTCGAATGTATAAACCGTTTTTTTGTCACGTATTGATAGTCTTGCATAAGTCGCTATTGTAATCTGCGCCAAACAATTTACGAACAATTTAGTATTTACTTATAACTTTTTTACACAAGCTATTTTTACTAGATACTACCAGTCAACAACATTTTTTGCACTTACCAAAAGCAGAATTTTATCTTGGTGTATCGGGTAGACTGAAAGAAAATTATTTTTTTAAAATATATGAGTTAAAAAACATTAACTTATAAAATATTGTATATGTTTGTACTTAGTTATTATTGTTATGTTAAAAGTTTATACGGTATTTAAAAAATCGACAAACGATTTTTTTTCATATTACAGTTTATTCTTTAATGTAAGAACCAATATATAAATATTTACTTTAATTCCAGAACGCAGTAACTATCTAACACACTATATTTAGAAGAATTTCATTTTACAGGTGAAACACGAGCGCCTCCTACTGGTTTCTATTCTCGGGTTTATGGTGAACATGGTCGGCATCTACGCCTTCCACCATGGTCACGGCCACGGCCACGGTGGGCACGGTCATTCTCACGGTGGCCACGGCCATTCGCACAATCACGATCATGGGCACTCCCACGACGACACAGAAGCTCCAACCGGGGCCGGCTCCGCTATCATGCGAGGAGTGTTCCTCCACGTACTCGCTGATACCCTCGGCTCAGTCGGAGTGATCATTTCTGCAATATTAATGCGAATGTTTGGTTGGATGCGAGCGGATCCGATTTGTTCGATGGCTATCGCCCTCCTTATCGCCGCGAGTGTTATACCCCTAGTGCGTGATTCGGCGGGAGTGTTGATGCAACGGACCCCTCTGTCCATCGAACGGTCATTACCCAATCTCTTTACGCGCGTCGTGGGGTTGGCAGGGGTGCACGCGGTCCAGGAACCGCACTTTTGGACTCTGTGCAGTGATGTCCACGTGGGTGCTATTAAGTTAGAGGTGGCGAGGGAAGTCGACCCCCGGTATATAACCGACCAGGCGGCCAGGATATTCCGGGAGGCGGGCGTCAAACATCTAACAGTACAATTGGACTATTCGCCCCTCTGATGCGTACTCTTGTACGGTTTTTGTATATTAGTGTAAATGTACCGGATAGAATTTATGCACATATAGATAGACTACGCTGATCTTGATAGTTCGAAACGTTGCGAGCCATCAGCGCCGCGGGGCTTGTTTGGTAACATCACGTACTGTACACTTGAACGAAGCATTCAGCACCCTTTCTTTCTGCAGCTAAGACACCACTAATGGATGCCATTTTCAGGAGATTTGTATTTCGTAACGTCGAAATCCATTTTCCAATTACAACGGGCGAACAGCTGAAAAGCCCAAGTAGCTTAATACAGTTTGGTAATGATGGCAATGTAATATGTCTGATAACGAACAGATTATGTGTTCGATCCTCACCATCATGTTTCAAATAAATTTATAACTGTTTGGAAACTTGTTGGACTTTGCCTGGAAATGTTTAAATAAAGTGGTGGTATGAATATGGAAATTTCGAACGGGCATAACCACTGTCAAGTTTATTCACGCTTCGGTTTTAGTACGTGGATCTCCCAATATATTACGCTAAAATGGGGCGACAGCGCATCTTGTTTAGTATATCTATCTGTATCTAGTTATTAGTGTTATATAGCTGCGTTATTTCACCTACCATCAAGTACATGCTTGTCTGTCCTTCTCTATCATAAAAAAAAAGTATCTTTCTATTGCTCCCAACGTTTATGTTGACTGTCAAGTTCATTGTGTATATATATATATATTGCGATTAGGTTGTATAATCGAGTGCCTACTGTACCGAATGTAGCCAGAAATATGTAGATCCAGACCAGAGACAATAACTTATTTTATTTTGGACTTTACCTTGTCTATGGCCGTGGCTGCTTGCTGTACTGTTAGCAGAAAAGCGTTTAGTAAGTTTTTCTCATAGCCAATAGACATTTTGTACTTCAATAGATGTAAATGTTCTTACAGATTGTGCGTGAAGTTTTGTGCTTAACGTTTAGATAAGAGTTACCATTTTATAACAAAACTTTAAAATCTTTGTTTTTTTTACTTTTGAAAAGTTACGAGCACTGCAATATTTTCTTATTTAGGTACACGCAATTCTATGCTACTTGTATGTAAACTAACAAATTTTTATTTTTTTATTTTCTAGATAATGTACATTCCACTATTTGCTTTGAACTAGTAATATTAAGTTTATAATAATTCTTCAACTAATAAATATGAAGAAAATGGAATAATTAATTTATCACTGAACTATTTTGTTAAAGTTTTTAACTTAATTGAATGCATTTTATTACTTTACTTGTTTGTGTATGTTTTCTATGTTATATCCTAAGTTTCTTGACAATTGTCACAAAATTTCGTAGGAAAATTACTGTTACAAATAAATTGATATGAATTTGTTACGAACCAAAAGAATCATTACGATTTATCCACAATAAAAGCAGTTTTATGTTATGGGTGTTGTTCATTAGTAAGTTACACTGAGATGGTAAAGATAAATGTTTGCTAATTTCGTAAATAGTTCCTGTTGTAATTTTCATATAATATTGGGCTTTTAGCCTATTGTCTGTATGGACACTTGTCTTATTGCAAAGATTTAAGACCTACCATTCTATTCTAGGGCCGGCCATCTATGTGTTTTAAAATGTACTTATATCATTGTTATGGTTGAGCATGATATTCCAAGAGTTAATGGGGGGCTTAAACAATCAGATTGTTTGTATAAAGAATTGTACTGACTGTGCCTCATTTCATAGCTACTTAAAACATTTCTGACAACCCTTTAAACAAGTTTGTAACACTGTAGAATAAAACAAAAAATATTCCAAATACATTTATACATCCTTAGACAAAATCATTCATATACATACAACAAAAATATTAAATAATAAATCTGTTAATGCTACGCAACGACAGACGTCACGAGATCTTTGCTGGGCACAGTCACACAGTAAATAACATCATGGAGTTAACAATTACAAAGATTGGCAATTCAAGCATATTTGTTCAGTAATTCATTTAAATTGATAAAGATGTGCGTTGACCTATTAAAAAAATGATCATAAGTTTATTTCAAAATAAAACAATCAGCTTTTCATATAAAAACTCAAGTTATTCACGACTGTGGCCGCACCCATAGTGTTATGTTGTTATTCAATAAGTTTCTTGGCCTTAAAATAGCGGCGTAGATACAGCACTTGCCATGTAGCCAGCCCCAGTAGACATACCATTGAGAACACACTGAAGAACAAAACTCTGTTGTTTGTGGACTCTGAAACATATATTGGAAATGAATAAAAAAAATTAAGGGAAATTTAGTATTCTAATTGTATGAATAAGTATTCTAAATGCAAGAAACACAAGGCCGATTATTTCTAACAAGGGATTAATTCAGTTAAATTATAAATAAGACACTACTACTATTATTAAAATTAATTTTTGAATTAAAAAGTAACCTAACACAAATTTTGTGCTTCAATTATGATAGCAGGAAAAAAAATGGAACATACCATTGGTATCTCTCATTTCTTCCTCTCGTTTTCTCATGAGGGTAAAATCTTGGACAATGGCCTCCGAGAGGTCTTCCAGCCTCTTTAGCTCTAGTTCCATTGGCTTCAACTTTGCTGCTTCACCAATCTATTATGGAAAGATGATGTATTTTTTTTATAATAATAGAGGTTATGTGTTATTATAGAAAATGTAAACACATATATAAAAACAAGCACATGAAAACTAAATATTTTCAACTCTATCGAACCATGTCCACGATAAGCTGTGAGACTGGTTCTAAAAATATAAATTTTAAACCATCTTGAAAATACATTAAGTAATCAAATTTTCATATTTTAATTCCTTCAAACTTTTTCTTACAAATGATAAAATATAAATAGCAGACGTCTTGTTCAATTATTGAAAAGATCAATGTTTATAATGAAAATAAATAGTGATATGAAAAACTTCAATAGATGCTGTTATACAATATAAAACAAACAATCTGAAGTAAAATTTTGTTAATTATTTATCTGTACATGCATAATTTAAAACCACACGCTTTATTACCCATGTGTTCTAGAAGATTGATGCGAAGATCGCCAACAAGAAAATAAAAATAAGATATGTAGTTATAATTTTACATTTGATGTACATATATAATTTACTTACCCCTTCATAATTTTTAGCTTCAATTCCGACTTTAATATCTAAGTGTACATCCTGTGCAACCCCACGACGTTCTGAAAATGTAAAGATAGTTAAAATGTCAATATAAATAAGTAGATTAAAGATGTTTAAGGGTTTTATAATAATTTATTCCTGGTTATATTACAACTGGGAAAAATTAAGAAAGAGGAAAAAGAAAGAACAAAGATTAACATGGCTTTTCACAAGCTGCTGGGTAGTATTACAAATCTTAAATAGCAATAAATATGTTGTTTTAGAATAAGTAAGGGACAAGAAGTCTTTATAAGACCATAAGTTCAATAACTTATGGGTACTTATCTCAATTTAAACCATTGAATATTTAAAAAGCTTCTCAATACCAAGAAGTATTTTCTACAACATAATTGAAATAATTACCTGGTGGCATTTTTGATATAAAACAGACTTCAAATGTATCATATGTTTCAGTTACAAAGGTAAACTTTCCCTTATTGATATTGTCCTTCTGTGCTAATATATGTCCTTTAGAATCCCGAACCTGAAATACAGGGAAGGTCTCTTACAGTGGGAGGTATGTAATTTTATGATTACGTCAATCAAAACATATGTTACAATTAAGAGATAAGAGGTACCAGTTTATCAACATAACATGAACATTTTATATTTATCTAAAATACAATCAGAGGGACAATACTTTCGGTGTAATTACCATAGTTTTTTGATCATTATAACCAAGATATGGAGTCTATAACGGTAACCTCTAATATAACTATTTGACGTAAAGATATGCATGAATTTTACTTACAATATAATCAACGCGCTGACCAGTTAATTCTGTAATTTCATATTCACCGGCTACCAGTACATTTGCTTGTAATTCCTCCTTCAAACACTTTTGAGTGTTAGGTGCCAAGCTCCACATAATAGCATCGCAGCTACACCACAAAACACTTAACAGAATTGTGAGATATTGTACCTCCATTTTGCTATATTATGTCCCTTCGTTAATAAGCTAAATAAACAGCTATCTTCATGAAGAGAAAACAAACATTTTTCGCTTTCGATTTAAAAAGAATTTGATAGCGATGAGTTGGCCCGACACACAATATTTATGTGACAGCTGACAGAGCAAGAATAAAACGTCACTTGCATTACGAGCACAGATACTGAAAACTTAACAGCATTAACGAATACCATATACTATATACATATAATACACATGCCAGACATATTTTGACATATGTACATTTTCTGTGTCAGTTGTCAATTTTCTAACCATAAATGTTGTTTAGATTAGATTTGGAAAATCGCAATATAAAAGTTATTTACTACAAGTGAAAACTTGGAAATTGTTAGTTTAAAATATAAAATTATTATTAACTTCTGAATAAGGATTACTAACTGAAAAGGTTAAAGGACACGGAGCACCCAACCTAGCCCAACATAATTTTGACGTACCGATAGGGAATTTTGCATCATCAGTGGAATTTTTCTTCGCAATACTAAACGAAGGTAAAATGCTACGCCAATTTTATTATATTCTGTTGTCAAACCAAGTAAATAAAGATATATGTAAGTGTGAATCACGTAGGCAGTTATTCTCCGTACTACCTATCAGTTTTACTATTCCACATTTACTACGTGTTTACATAACAATACAAAACAGTGCACTTCAATGGCAATATTAACACGTGTAATCGGATATGTCTAAAACACCTACAGTACATATATTGCATTTCCTACTTGAGACACTTGCAAAGGTGTTATATGACCATGTAACTAATATAGTAAAAAAATCTTCTACTTGGAACATAACATTTATTGTATATGAGGCATTATATACATAAAAGTATTAATTACAGATTTATTAAATTGTTTATAGCAATGCTGACTTTCTGCAGAATTTTCCTCGTCTAATGCCTCAACCTTCAAAACAAATTAATTATTATCTGACAACTTGTTAAACATCAAAATATTATTTCCTTATAAATATTAAGATTCTTCATTTTTAGATTGATAAAGTATCTCTCAATTAAAGTTTAATAATTATTTAAGGTGCTGAAAAAACTACTAAAATTTAAAAACTAATTTCAGGTTACAAGTTACCAGCAGAAAATGCATGTCTCTAGGGCTCTAGACTACACACCTTTGAATTGAGAACAAGGATTTAAAGGTAAAAGTGGATTCTAGTTGTAATTAATTTTGATCGTTTAGTTCTAAGATACAAAATGCTGAATGATTCTGGTATGTATTATAACAATAAGGGGTGAATAAGAAGGTATTAGATATTTTATCTTTAGTAGATATGAAATTTCAAATTAGATGCTGAATCTAATCAGAATTTTGTGAGACGGCATGAGAAAATGAGACAAACAACTAGTCTAAATTAATAATTAAAGAATTATCAAAAGAACACGCATTGTTAGCTCCATTGTATCAGTTTATAAATTTTATTAACTGTCTATTAAGATTAACATAATATTAGCGCTATAAAATAGTTCTCATAACAAATTAAAATCTGTCCTTAATTCTTATGTTACTATATACAGGCAGTCCTCGTACTTACGGCATGTTAGGTTCTCGAAATACGCGACGTAAATCGAAACGACGTAAGTCGAGACATATTTTTTCATATGTTTACATATAAAACTCAAGGGTTAGGTTCCACACGGACTCGAAATAATAAAAAAACTGCATTTATAACAAAGGACGTACTTTATTATTAAAAGTAAGTTCTTAAAATAATTATATATTTTGCACTTATGAAATTGCTAGTTATTTTTGGTATTTGTGTGTTATTAATTTTAATAATTATTATAAAACTTATACATATGTAATGATAAATAATAAATTAAACTTTTGGCTTAAAGAAACTATCAATTCTAGATTGTTGGCTTTTTTTCTTGCTATCATACAGATTTGGTAACTTGATGCTGACAAATTTTGTTATTAACGTTAAAACTTCTCTCAAAATTAGGATATTTTCTTCAAAAATTTTCATGGCATCTTCAATTTGCAAAGGTAGGAAATTTTTTTAGTGTAAGTTTTTTTCAGAGTCACTAATAGAAGAAGCTATTTGACTCGCGTGTTCTTTGTACTTGTGCTCCAATAATAAATTTATATGTTCTTGCGAATGTGAGCTTAACAGATCATCAATATCATCAGTAATAACTGACTGCAGTGTGACGCAAAGTTAGCCAAATGAACAATGTATGTGATTATGAATTTGGTTGGTGGTTTAAATTGTTGGGTGTCACCTCATCCATGAAGTAGCAAATTTTTTAGACATTTGCGCGGTTTCCCGAGGACACCGCGCCCCGTCCGGCCCCTAGGAATTGACCTTGCGAAAGTGAATTCTCCGATATGCCGGAAATCGAAACAAATACGTATGTTTGAGGAATAGTGTACCATTGTTTGACGTAACTTGAAACGACGTAAATCGAAACGACGTAGTGAGGACTGCCTGTATTCCATAATTCAAACCCCTAATAGGCTATTCTTCTTTCTTTGAACAGGGAAATTTATGCATATTTCCAGCTGCAGGCTGACAGCGCATCTTTTTGAGGTGCTATATGGCTAGGATATTTCACCTTCCATCAAGTAAACCCAACGCTTGTCTGTCCTCCTCTATTAGAAAAAAAGAAATACTTTTCAAATATATAAGGCTCAAATAAAAATAATCACCTCCAACATTATGTTTTATCCGCTTTAACGTCAATGGGGGGAAGAATATGTATGAATATGAATATTTGAAATATCAGTACTTTGGTTAAAGAATATTTATGTCAAGTTTGAAGTAGAATCAACAAATCTCCTTTCTTCATTAGTAAATTATAAAAAAACTATTCTAATGCTGCCTTTGACAAATATAAAAGAAACTTTCCGTTTTAAGTCTCTATTATGAGTGATTTAAGCTGATTAGTTATTCAGTTGATCTCACATTCAATGAGCAATTACGAATATTGGCAGGTGGAAATTTAGTCATTTATTTCAGCATTAATTTTACAAATGTATGTACTCATGATCCCTTTGTCACCCATAGTTTTAATTAGAATTCTCTAGTTTCTTGAAACTAAAGTATAAACACCTATTTATGTTTGATATACAAAAAATAGCTTTGCTTAAATAATAATTCAAGAAGTTAGTTACTGAGCTTTAGTAATTTTTTTGATTGTAGTGAATGTTTCATGGGTATTTTAGTAAAAATAAACTTTTACTATTTTTTATACATACATTTAAACATAACTGAAAATAACTCGGCTTACACTTGTGAATTCTTATAAGAAAATAATTGAATTTTTGTATTAAGGATTTTACCACATATAAATTTTACCACATACACATTTCTGACTCATTCACACCTGTGATTTCAATATAATCCTTTAATAAAAACACATGTTCTAAGTAATCGAAGCTTTAGAATGCTTGACTAATATTCAAACTTTATGTGTACAAACGCGCTATTTGCTTTATAACGTTTGCCTTTAAATAGTTTATTAATGATATTACTGGTATAACATCCCCGTTTATGCCCCACCAATCGGCCGATGTAAATAAGCGCGCTATGTGATGTAATATTATACAATGAAAACGAGAGTTAAATATGTGCGGTGCGAATGTATTCTTTAAAGCTGCACTCCATTCCATTGAGTCGCGGCAACCCTGACAGTGCGCGGCGAGGGGGCCAGGGGGGGAAACTGGGTCGTTCGCGACGTGCTGTCAAGTTCAAGGCCACGCGAAGGGGGCTCCAGATCGTCCATAGATGGCGTTGCGTGATTCGAAAATATTTCGCGTGCGGGGTGCGGCGGGGCGCGCGGCGGAGGGGCGGGAACAAATTTTCGGTGCAACACACTACACGACGCTGCACTCGCGTATCGGACACCGCGACGCACAGTACTGTGAGCTAGCCGTGCCTAGATTCTAGACTTTACCGAACTGACCCGGCACAACTGAGCCGACATGGACTGGATGGAAATGGACGACGTGGTTCGTATTATTTTGATGTATACCCCGCTTCTTCACGCGATCGATACATTTTTCGCGCGCCGTACTTGACCTATCCTAACATTTTATTATCGCAACACGAAGAGTTCAGCTCTTATCGCGTGTGGATTACTTAGTGCTAATGCTGCAACTGTTTATAAGATTTTACTTAACACACTGCCTTATTATTCTTAACTTCAACAATGTTTCTACTATACGTTCAAATTGAAAAATATCTTATCGCCCGACCTCGATTCTACCGCAAAGTTTGATTTCGCGGCATCGGTGTGCGGAATTGACATCATACGACGAATTGAAATCTACGACTATGCGAAGCTCGGCTCTAATTTAGCATTCGCAAGTGGTTAACAATCGGCCGATTGAGTTGTCAAAAATTGCCGTCGAATCCTGTTTCTCATCGCGGGCGGTGCGGAAGTTCTTTGGGGCCGTATTCTATGCATATCCGATGCGGTTCTGATTTCAATATTGCTAGACATTATGACGTAGATGTTAATTCGGCTGGCGGATGTGGCGGTGGAGTTTCAGGCCCACGTGCCGCGTTTCCGACCTACCTCAACGCTTCGTGATCGATCGCCGCCCGCCGTAGCTTCGTCTAGCGAAGCCTATAACGGTCCCACCGCTTCTATCTCACGGCCGTGGCTATTTGTTTAGACTGGAATGACGTAACCGATACCAAAAGTTACACGCTCAAATAACCATAATTAGTGCTAGACCCAGGGGATCGGGTGGGGACAAAAATTAAGGTCGGGCAGTGAAAGGGGCCTTTCGAAAATACATGGTGTTAGATAACCAAGGCGTACCATGCTAGACTAGTTTTTATGGGTCGTTTACAGTACATTGCGTCCTAGACAATTTTTTTAGTCTAAGTCTAGGTTGTTCCTAAGTTCCATATATTTTTTCCAATAAGAAAAATTGCATTTAGTAATATAGATAAATGAAAAAGTTCTAGTGCATTCCCTCGTGTCCTGAAATGGTCGTTCCACACATCATGCATCATCAATCACTTAACCTGGAAACATCCGTTAATCACTATGATGCACTGCGATGATTAAAATGTCATCAGGAAAGTGGCATAACACCTTTAGTCTTTCCTATCTAATCAGATTTGCAATACTCTCATGATAGTGGTGCCGGCCTTGACTGCGTTATTTATCTACTCACCAAATTCTGCTAAATATAATTTGCATACATTTTTGATGGTATTATGCAACGTTAGAGTCGCGATAATACGTCTTCTGTCCACCGCATCAGGTGCATTTTCCAGTAACAAGGTTGTGGAGATTTGACAGTTTTTTTTGTTGTAAACATTTTCGGCGTTTTCCGAGCACAGTTGAGGTAGTGTTTTGAAGAGTAAGTACGTGTGTCGTGCGGACGCCATGTGTCTTGTCACGATTTTGTAGGCGATACGGCGGCACATAAAATTGTACGGTGTCGATCAAGGCCGCGGCTTCTAGGTCTGGGAAGCGAAGGCCAGACGGGCGCTGAACACAAAAAGCGGTCTAGTCTTACATCATTGTTCGGCTGAGCGGTGTTTCTCTTTGTTCCTTTAAACTTTTCATATTGCTTGTCCTACCAAAAATTTTCGGCATATTGTATTTCTGAATAAAACACTTAACGGTTTAAAACGTGAAATATATTTGTTTCTAATTTAATTTAACTAGCTATGGTTTGAAGTTTCGGACGCTCCGCAGCAGCCGTGGTCACGGGGATTAGGCCATGGTTAAATTAAATCAAAAATAAGCTAACTGTTTCGCGGTTTAAACGTTATAAGTGTTTTCATTAGATGTGGGTACTATTCGCGTCAACTACAGAAAATTACATAAGCGTTCTTTATCTAAATTTCTGGGGAAACCTAAAAAAAGCTATAAAGCTTAAACTACTGCTTTACATCATATAAAGATTACAGCTTAAAACTGTTATCAGTTGTAACCAGCATGCATAAAATTAATTAGAAAAACCAAATTGCGTTTCCCGAGCCGCAACAGATACTTTTTCGGTCTTAAAGAAATCATGTCTTAGAGAGCACGTCTCTTATTTTGTCATTAAATCCGCCGCCCAGCTTGTGGTGGGCCTAAAATCTTAAATCCTGTCTCCCAGGAGAGAGAAAACCCGTGCCACATATTGTGTAGAAACGAAATTCCTAATCACAAAGATCCATTTAACATAAATACTGTTCTGTATTTACGCATCAAGCCACCAGCGCTTGGATTCAACTTATCAAAATAGATATATGTATCTAATGGTCAGGGGTCGTGAATCTTGGTCACGGTCTTCAAGATATAATTATTTAAATGTAACACTTCCGTACATACTCTGTTAAAGATTTGTTGTTCTTTGTCCGAGACTTAGATTAACGGGATCAACCTACTGCATGCTGCTACGGAAGTTTGGCTACACTGTTTAATATAGAGACGCCATTGCAATATTTAACTGTTTTCACTTTAAACATTGTTTGTAGTTTACACTTTATCAAACGGTTTGAAATGCGAAAATTTTAAATTATTTGTAACTATTATAACTTACCTGATGTTTTAGAAGCTTTTCAGAACGCCCTGATCACGGCTGCTTAAAGCAACCAATATATTTTGCGTTGGAGTTTGGATCGATTTTATTATCCGAAGACGAAATTCGAAACAATCATTTCCCACAGACATATATCTTATTCTGATAAAAAAATACGCATAATTTATTCTTAGTAAAAGCCCAACGCCTGTACTAAAACAGAGCTCTTCATTGCACTAAAAATTGTATCTTGCATCATAATACTTAGAACAATGAATTTTGTAAAACATTTCGTGGTCGTATAGCGTTATCCAATTGTTAACGTACAGGCGATAATCGGTAGTTGAATAGTTTCGGCTGAGTATAATTGAGGATTTGGAGTAGGGGTAAGATGAGGGGGCGCAGGAGCGGGAAATTTGGCGGTTGGCCTTGGCAATGAACTGGCGGCGCGCACACTGGCAGAGGAGCCTGTGTGTATATATCACTTACGCACACAAGCGAATCTTCTATTCCACGAATGGCCTCTCCCACACAATCATTATTGCTTTAGGGTTGCCATTTTTGCGAGTAATTATAGTCCTGGTTTATTTCACTATCATATTCTACCCATTCTTTAATGAGTATACAATCTTAAGCGTTTTCAATTATTTCAATGATTTTCCTGTTGTTTTTTAAAAACATTTACGATACGGGCAGGACTTGCTCTTGCTCTAACTGATTGAGCTATCGTGTCCTACGCGTCATCGTCGTATTTATTCGACCTATTGACATAGGTACCTTTTCCCCTAAAACCACTTTGTGGTAGAATTAGTTTGTTTCGAATACAATTGTATCATCAACTTACCGAGAGTAAATTAATTAGACAATTAACCCTTCTCATTTTTGCCATGCAACATTTTTAAGCGTGAGTAAGTATTTGTAATACATATACATTACTATAAAATTTCAAATAGACTCAAACATATTCTATTAATGCTTCCAAAGTCGTATGGCGGATTTGCTATACACGTTTATCACTATTGGAAGTGTTTAAAATGTCATTATAGAAGTAAAAGTCTCATGTCCTTGAAATGAAAAAGAACAGAGACGCGGCAACCCTATGGCCGAAAATGGAGGTCGCTCGGCGCAGCGGCGGCGGGTGCCGTGTGCCTGCCCTAACACAACATAACATAGGCTAGGCTTCGATAACTGAATATTCGCTTCAAGGCTCTCGCTACGTATGTGTGGATCGTCTAGCCCCGCACAAAAGACGCTCTGTCCGCCGCGACACAAACGTTTTTATGCTCTCGATTATAATACCTCACTGTTTTCAACGTTTGACGTGTTGCGTATATAGATCGTTCAGTTCCACAATTGTACTTTCTACGCTCGGAAATAAATATTATATCCTAGAAATAGTTGATAGAAGAGGACAGAGAAGCTTCACGTTCACTTCATGGAAGGCGAAATACCTCAACCATATTTTAACAAGATGCGCTGTTGGCCTATTCTGGCTTTACACGTTAGCAAATCGTCTAACTGTAACAGAAACGCGATTAAACTTCACGACTTTTTTGTGACCCTGGCGCAGTTTACAACATTTCTACCATCTACTTAATATTCAGATTTCTAGACGAAGTCTCTATTTTTCAAAAAATTTTAAGACCCATGTGGAACCCGGTGGGAATCGAATCCGTGACTCGTTCATTATTAGCCATTTAGTGATATTATAACATTTATATTATATGTTATTAGATATTAACATTGCTTTTTTATATAATGCAATTTACTGGTTAAAGAGTGATGTGTGAATAATGTATAGGAAATTTTACGCTTTTAGTTATTGTAGCAGGAAATTTCGTATGTAACAGTTACCTATCTGAATATTTAAAAAAAAGTATGACAGCGCACCTTCGTGCAATTTTATATTGCTAAAATATTTCATCTTCCAACGTGAACTTCATGTTTGTCTGTGTTCCTCTATTACAAAGACGGTTTCGTAGTTACAGGCCTTACCTTGATCTTCAAAATTTTAGTATACTACTTACAGACCCAATTTCACCAAAAATGTTAAATTTACTGGATATATTTATATACTGGAAATAACGAAATAAATCAAGACAAGGTCTTATGTCATTTAGCGGTAAAAGGCGCCTGTATTTTGTGAAGGTGCCTAAGTGATATTGAAATAAGACGTTGACAGCCCTTAATTTTCTTCATTAGTGTCTTTATTTACTGGTGAAATTGGGCCTTCAAATAATTTGACGGGCTTGTCGGTCCAATGGTAGCAATGCTAATCGACAAGTGGGTTCGATCCCCACCGGGTCCACATTCTAATCAATTTATATTTTTCTACAACATGTTGGACTTCGTCTGGAAATCTGGATTAAGTGGTGGTAGGAAAATCAAATTTCGACGGGTT